GTGTGTGTGTGTGTGTGTGTGTGTGTGTGTGGCCAGCTCAGCCCACCAGGGGGCGGGGCTGGCTGGCATGTGGTGCTGGGGGATTGAACCGAGGTCCCTGTGCTTTGCTAAGCTTGTTCTAAGTAGGTGCTTTAGACCACTGAGCCATCTCACCAGCCCCAGCAAATCCACTCTTAAGTATACACCCAGGTGAAATGAAAACATATGAGCACCCAAAAACTTAAAAACTAGGCTAGACATGGTGATGCAGGCCTGTAATCCCAGTACTCTGGAGGTTGAGACAGGAGGATCACTGTGAGTTCGAGAACAGCCTGGGCTACAAGGTAAGCTCAAGGCCAGCCAGAACTGCATGAATGAAGGGGGAAAAAAAAAACAACAACCCTAACTTGTATATAAGTAGGCTTTTTTTGGTACCGGGGATCAAACTCACAACATTGTGCTTGTCAGGCAGGTGCTTGAGCTGCTGAGCTATCTCCCTGGCCCACAAGTAGGTTTTTTTGGAGACAGGGTGTAGCTTTGTGGTTCAACTGGCCTCAAACTCAAGGCAGTTCTCTTGTCTCAGCTTCCTGCATGCTCCGCAAGAGCATTTTTCAGAACTAAATGAGGCAACCCAGGCTTATCACCTGATGAATCAGTAAACTAAATGTTGTACAACCACATGTCAGAGCTCATGCCTGCCACAAGGACGTCCACAGGAGAATACCCAGTGAAAGCAGCCAGACAAAAAAATATCACACTGATGACTCCACTTGGATGGAAAAGTCCACAATAAGCAAATACACAGACAAAAATCTGCCTAGCAGTTGCCTAGGCAGGGTTAACCCTCCAGGAACAGTGCAAAATACTTTTTTCTGAGGAATGAGAGAGCATCAAAGTAGACAACAGCAGACCTGGAATGGGGACAAGGGCAAAATGAAGGTAGAAAGGGCTGGTGCAGTGGTACACACCCATAATCCCAGCACTCTGGGAGACAGAGGCAAGAGAAGCACAAGTTTGAGCCCACCTCAGACAATTTAGTGAGACTGTCTCAAAATAAAAAAAGGGCTGGGGATGTAGCCCAGTGCAGTGACCCTGGGTTTGGTTCCCAGTACTACAATAAAAGACAAAAACAAAAAAGGAAGAAGAAACAAAGAGAACAAGAGGAGCCAGAGCCTGACTAAGAACGCTTTACTCACAGCTTCTCCAGCATTTTGAGTTTACTCTGCACCTGAGAGGCCCTGTTGGCATTGTAGCGAAAGCGGTCAATGAAAACCTGTGGGAGGAGGGCACACACTGGTCAGGTTCCTGAAAACCCCAGCTCCACACCATGGATGGCCCCACACCCCACTGCGCCCTCACCTGGATGTGCTGGCGATACTGTTGCTGTGCCTCATACTCTCGCTGCTGATTGAGCAACCGTTCCTGCTTGCTCTTGATGAAGGTCTCGAAGTCCCCCCGGTAACCATCTAGCCGCTGGCTGTGCAGGTGGATGATGTCTGTGGCGATGGCATTCAGAAAGTTGCGGTCGTGAGAGACGACTAGGATTGTGGAGGGCCATGTCTGAGAGGTCACAGGACAGGAATCAACTCTTGAGCTCCAAGGATCTTGGAAGCTGACTCTCCTGAAGCCCACACCAAAGCCTTTCCTTGAACTCACCTGCAGGTAATTCTCCAGCCACAGAATGGCCCTGACATCCAGCATGTTTGTGGGTTCTAGAGGAAGTGGGGGAGCACATACTTGGGGTTGCAGAGCTGTTTGAACTAGGAACAAGGATGCTATCACCCCTCCCCAGCTCAGAGTCAAGGTGCTTCATTTGAAACTCACCATCCAACAGCAGGAGGTCTGGCCTACAAAAAAGGAACACACAACATGGATTTTAGGCCAGGGGCTCACCATCATGTTCCAAGGCCCACCCTCTACAGGGTTCCTGATGCAGACCCAGGGGACTCACCTAGCAAACAGGGCTCGAGCCAAGGCCAATCTCATCCTCCAGCCACCGGAGAACTCCCTACAGACAGGCAAACCACATTAGGGGTGGGTGTTTACCGGGGCAAGCAAGAGCAGAGTCGGCAACATTCAGAGGCGAGATTTACAAGGGTGACTCACCGGGTGGGCTGCTGCTGCATTTTGGGGGTAAAGCCAAGCCCAGCAAGAATGACCGATGCCCTAGGTGTGAAGAATTGAAGGATCCAGTTGGAACAAGTTTTAGGATAGAAAAGGAGAAACATGACAAATACAGGGATAATCTGAAATACCTAGCAGGTGCCTTGTCAGCCTCAATCTCCTCCAACTTGGCATAGATTTCAGCCAGCTGTGCCGCTTCTGAACCCTCTGCCCTGGAAGGGAGAAGGAGTAACCAAGCTAAGTGAGGGCTAAGAGGATGTCACACCTATACCAGTGGAAAGCAGCCACCGGCTGCTTGCTGCCAGGACAGGAATAGAACACACGAAGGACTTGCCCAAAGGAGCGGGGAGGAGCTGATTACTAGGATGGCCATGTGAATCACAGGCTGTGACAGCATGACACCGCTCTGTGAAGAACACTGCTAGGTATTCCCCACCCAGGAGCCCTGAGCCTGAAGCCCACACCTGCCCGCAGCAATCTGGGCACTGAGTTCCCGCTCCCGCTGCAGCAAGTCCTCTCGCACGCTGTCGCTCTCCAGCACACTCTGCAGGGCAGGAGTGTCATCACCGGCGACCTCCTGCTCCACATGTAGCAGGGAGATGTGGGCTGGAACCCGCAGGCTACGGGTGGCCAGCATCTTCAGCAGCGTAGTCTTCCCCAGCCCATTCCGTCCTACCAGCCCATAGCGGCGGCCCCACGCTAAGTTCACATCTGCTCCAGCCAGCAGTACCCTAGGAGTGGCAGAAAAGAGACCAAGGGACTGCTGGAAACATCACAGCACACTTAATGAAAGATCCCCAACATTGGCTTTAGCCCCATTTTATTGTTCCTAATTGTCCCATAACTAGAAGAAAGCCCCTCCCCCCAGCACTGCCTCACCTATCACCAAAGGACACGTCGAAATTCTCAATGCGCACATCATAGGATTTGTTCTTGCCAGATGATTCCAACCGACTCTCCTTCCTGCTGCCTGCCTGGCTGGCTGATGCCTCTTCCAGGACTCTGAAAGGGAGAAAAGGCAGATTTTAGAGCTCCCACACCCTAGTCTCCTGGAAGCAACTACTCTGCTCTCTTCTGAGCCCTTTTTCCAGAACTCACAGAGGGTTGCTGGTCTTCAGTGTGTCCTTCTCTGAGCGCTTCTCCTGTTTTGCTTTCAGTCGAGCCTCGGCCTTTTCTAGCTTCTTTGCATTCACTGTCTAAGCAAATTCCAAACATAAACATTTTACTGTAGGGCATAGGCTCAGAGAAAATAGCTCAAGTAAACTCTCACTACTCACCCATGCCCAACAGGTTCAAAAGTTCAAGGAAAGATACAATTAGCAATCCCTTCCTCCCAAAGATACCCCAACAGTTTGATGCCCCACAGATACATTCCCCTCCTCTCTCTTCTCACCGAAGACTGTTCTCTCTTTAGCAGTCCTGGAAGTTTCATGTCACAGTCTGTAAGTGATTTTAAAAAAAAAGTCACCTTCTATCTGAGGAAAGGGAAGCCAATACTTTGACTAATAGGAAACAGGCACACAAAGGGACATTAAAAAAAATGTTACAATCCTAGGGATTGTAATCTACAACTAAAAACTAACAAAAAACCCTTTATATGTGTAGAAAGATACAGAAACTAAGGCATAGGCCAGGGAGATAGCTCAGTGGCATAAGTGGCTGCCTAGCAAGCTCAAGGTCCTGAATTCGATTCCTGATACCAAAACAGAAAGAAAAGATGAGGCACAGAGCCAACTCTTTGAAGTTGCAGAATCGGAGGGTGAGGTGGAGTGTTAAGCCAAGTCCGTCCAACTTGAAGCCCCACAAGCTTCCTTCCATCATACTCCAATCAATAACTTGAAAAACCCTCATCCTTTCCTCCTAGGCTCTTGCTCGTATAAACGCGTCAGTCGGCCCCTACCACCGTCGTCCCCCGCCTCAGGGGCGGTGAGCAGGGGAGGAGGCTGAGGAAAGGACAGCCGCAGCTAGCAGTACAGCCTCCGCTCTCCCTTACCGTAGTTTTCCGCTATCTTTGACAACTGGATGGGGGCGTCCAGAAGCACCTGGCTGTGTCCCTGGCTCTGTGGCTCTGCCCTACGTGGGTAGGGACACAAGGCGCAGTTAGGACCCGAGGGCAAAGCCCTTTGACCATCAGGCTTTCTCTCCCACCCCGGGACCCGGACCCTTCGCCCCCATCGGCCCCAACTCCTGGCACGTACAGGCGCAGAGTATTGTACATGCGCTGGCACACGGCCCTGATGCCCGCGTCATCCTTGCTGTCCCCGGACACCTCCTGCAACAGTTCCCCCACAGCGTCCACCAGGTCATCCACAGACTCGAAGTCCCCGCTGCCGCTGTGCAAGACGCCTGCGCCGGGCGTGGCAGGCCGAAGAAGATACCGGTAGGGCGGATACACAAGCACTTTCAGCGCTCGAGCCGCGGCCCCCTGCCCGGGCTCCATTCGCAACCGCCCCTCAGGACAGGAGGTCACGGGGAAGGGAGGCTGGCAGGGGTCCCCAGCACCGCCCTCGCTGAACCTTCCCACCCGACCTCCACTTCGCCTTATGCAGCCCACTGATTCGGTTGGTCTCACCAGTCACGTAGTCGAAGACCTGTCCGTCAATTTCGGGGAACTCGCTCCTCAGGATTTCTGCGCAAGTCGCCATGTTCCAGTCAGGATCCAGTTTGCGCAGTCGCCGTAAAACGTTGGCCGAGACCCGCCCCCTGCTCCCCACCGAGAAGCTCGCCCCTCCCTCCAAGGCGCATGCGTAGCGATGACGTAAGAAAAGCGCGGAACCCGCTGGGCGGGTGAACGCGGTTGGCCGAGCTCTGCGCAAGCGCCCTTCAGCCTAGCCGAGTCGCTCCCTGTGCGCCTGCGCCACCGAGTCCCAGAAAAGAGCCACGCGCGCGCTTCTCGGTGCCTCCTGTGAGGCGGCGCTCCTGAGGCCGAGGGTGGGAAGACCGCACTCCAGGGTTATCAGGGCGCGAAGCCTTAGTGGTCCCGTGGGTGGGCGTCGCCCTGGAAACCCGCTGCTGATAGCACCCTGGCTTCGCTGGGTTTTCTGCGATCCCTCGAGGCGCGTCTGCTCCTGCCGCCCAGCCCAGCCTGTCCTGCGCCCGCCCGCGGAGCGCCGCGCTGACTCACTGCAGCCCGGCTCGGCCCTGAGCTTCCGCCCGCTGGTTTTGTGCTGGTCCCGGCCCGCACCCCGCGCCCGCTGGGCGGCCCTTTCGCTTCGTGACAGCCCGACGGCCACCTAGAGCCGTTAAGGCCATTCGGGTGTTCCGCCACCGCTACAACCAGCTTGGCCTGTACAGTCTCTCTATCCCTACTTCTTCGCCTTTCCCGTCAGTAAAAGGCTTTTTCCGGATAAATAACATCACTGCTTCATGGATTCATAAATATCCTTCCAGTTGGCTCTAAAATTGGCATCCAAAACTTCATCACTATCCACTTAGCCTTTTGAATTAAGCATTGCCATAGCAAAGACCAGTCCCAATATTTATAATTGATTGACTGATTTTATTTTTTTTTTTGGCGGAACCGGGGATTGAACTCATATCCTTGCATTTGTCGGTCAAGCGCTTATCCTACTGAGCCATCTCCCCGGCCCGATCGACTGATTTTATACAGGGAGGGTCTTGCTATGTAGTTCAGGGTGGCCTGGAACTGACCCCACTGCCTCAGCCTCCTGAATGCTGCGATTATGGGCGTGCACCAGCACACCCAGCTCCTGATAATTAAATTTTAAAAACCTACTATCTACATCTAATAACTATTTTACAGGAAATACAGGGCCGGCCAGGTAGCTCAGCACATTAAAGTGCCTGCTTAGGCAGGCAGGGGGCCAGGGTTGGATCCCTAGTGTGCCATACTGGCCCGCCCCTAGGGCGCACGGAGCCTTGAAGACTGGGCAGGCGCGGTGGCGTGCGCCTGTAATCCCAACGCTTGGGAGGCTGAAAACAGTAGGATCCTTACGAGTCCGATCTACATAGTGAGACCCTGAAGACCCTGTCCTAAACAGATTTTTAAATAAAAGACTAAGGAAATACAACTAAAGAGAATGTGTTAAGTGATCTCTAAGGGAAGCAACAGGTAAACCCTGATGGAGAAACTATACAACTCCAGGAACAAAATTTTAAGAGCTGAAGAGAAAGGTACTAGTTGTTAAAATGTTAACCAATCGCAGTGGGTCCTACTTGGACACAGGTTGTGGAGAACTCTGTATGATCCTTTTTTTTTTGGCGGAACCGGGGATTGAACTCAGGCCCTTGCGCTTTCCAGGCAAGCACTTATTCTACTGAGCCATCTCCCTGGCCCCTCTGTATGATTCTTGAATTAAACAACGTTCACTGGATGGGGGTTTGTTATGTTATTCTACTAGTTTGGAAATTTTCTAGGGGCCAGGGAGATGGCTCTGTGGAATAAGCGATTCCCTAGCAAGTGCAAGAGCCTGAGTTCAATCCCCGGTTCCACCAAAAAATAAAAAGAAATTTTCTAATGAATCTGTCTTGAGCTGAAACCAAGCCAGGACCAACTGGTGAGGGCAAGTCTGCTTTTACATTTCCCAACATAGTCTCCTCAGGCAGCAGCTTGCTATATTTTTCTCTGGAGAGGTGTATCTGCCCTAGGTTTGCTAAGCACCACAGGGAAAATGAGCTCTGCCAAGACTGGAGGAAGACTGGCTAAATGGGAAAATAAACCCAGTTCAGTTTCTTAGGATGACCGCAAGACCAAAGGCCAAAATTGGACTTATGTTAATTAAAAACTACTTCCAAAGAATGGGTTGGAGAAAGAATCTGCTCTCTCAAACTTGGGCTAGGCTGGGGCTGCTTGCCCTTGAGGCAGTTTTCTTCTTGGAGAAGCAAGGACGCCCTGGTTTGCACTTCTGAGACAAATGGATGGCTCAGAAAGGGCCTAACTGGCACAAGACAAGGAAAGAGCTTCAACAGCATTCATGATGGAAAATTCTGCACAAAGCAGACCCCTTAGCAAAGTGTGGAAAGTCATCCCTTAGTTCCCTGCCCCCTGTATATCCCACATGGATACTTAGCCGACAACTCCACTCTACAGAGTTTATTGGGTTTATAACTGGACGAAGTCACACGTGTACAAAATGAAGCGCACACTATCCCAAAGCAGAGTAAGGACTGAGGACTGGGGATCCATTACTGGCCTTTGGGGGGCTCTGAGGTGAGGGGCAGCCAACCCTCCCACTCCAGAGATCTGGCCACGGGTGGGGGGGACAAGGGGCCCACCTGGCTTTGGTCACAGAACTCAGAGCCTGGAACTGGGCCAGGACAGACAGATGGAGAGCAGGAACCCCAGAAAACTGCCCTGCCCAGGGAGCTCAGGGATGGCTCTGCCAGTCCCACTTGCTATGTGGTTGGTCCAGACCTAGGCTCAGGGGATGGTGCAAAGGGAAGGCAGCAAAGCAGCGGGGAGGAGACACTGATGCATGGTGACTCAGGGGCACCTGGACTTGTAGAGGAGGTGGGGTGGGGAGGTGGGCCAGCTGTTACTAGGCAGTTAGCAGCGGGTTTCATAAATGCCACTGCGGCCAATGTAGCGCACCCATTTGATGACATCGTGATCGCTGTAGTTCAGCTTCGGCTCAAACACCTTCAAGTAGCGCACCTTGAGGCCAGAAGGCGCGAATGGCACCTGGGCAAGGGACAGGTGCAGTTAGGGATGTGACCTTCCTCTCACGGCTGTTCTCTTCTGGGACCAGGAAGTTCCACAGCTCTGCCCTACCTTAACCTACTGCACATGTCTGCACAGCTAGGGTCCTGAAAGAAGCTGGGGAAGCTGGCTAGGGTGGTGGAAAGCCCTCTAAAGGGTTACTGAAAAAATAAGCATATCCAGGAGTAACTAGCAATCATCTGGGGTGTGAAGTCAGGCCTTCCTGTGATAATCTGAACTCCTTTAATCAGCAGGATGCAGCAAATGGAGAACTGCCTTAGAACATAGTTATCCTGCTCAATATTACGGACTTGAAAAATAAGGTAGAGAAAATTATATGTCTTAATGCACAAGGCAAAGTCAGCTCATTGTCCTGTCTACAAGGAAACTTGCTATCTTACCAGGCACTCAATCTAAATTTTTCCTAAGAATTGTTTTGTGACAAGCGAAGAGACGTCAAAATGTTTCTCAGGGTGATCAGTAATTTCTCTCAAAGACACTTGAAGGTAAAAGAAATGGGTCTATAAATTAGTCACGTCCCTATTCTAGGCCTTGGTTTCGTCTCTAAGGTGCATGGCTGATCTGAGTGTTCTCTCAGATCTTTCCCAGGGTACTCTGCCCTGGTGCTAAGTCCCTCTTCTGCCGTACCTCAAAGTTCATGGAAATGGGGGGTCGAGCCCACTTCTTCTTGTCATTAGTGGGCAGAAGCTCAATCTCTGCGCTGATCTGCGATTCCTTCATGCCTGCCATGCGCTTGATCCTGGAAACACAGGCGATGAGCAGCAGGTGCCCATGGAAGCTCGGAGGAATTTTGGGGGTCGGGGGAGAAAGTGCCTACTTCAAGCAGGGAGACAGCCCAGGGCTTAAAGGAGGTGCTAGCACAAGGAAAATTGGTCACAACCCTGAAAACCAACTGCTGTGGAACTCTGGGTCTGTTCCTACTCCTTTGGTACTTTGGGCCACAGTTTCCACTTCAATAGACAAACTATCTCTTTCCCTTTGCCAGCTTCATAAATCTGTTACAAGAGTGCACGTGTGAGGTGTGCATGTGTGCACAAACATGAAGGGTGGCAAGAAGTAGGGGCACACTCCTGCCTTCCCACCCATGCTAGAGGAGAACAGGTGAAGAAGGGACACTGTGAGCCCTGCCACGGCCCTGAAGGAAGACTCACTTCCACACAATGGCGTTTTCACTGGCCTTGTACTTGGCCTTCCCCTTCATGCAGATCACCTGTACTCCGCTTGTGTTCAGTGGGGTCGGGATCCTCACCTAGGAGTGACACATGGGAGCCGTCCAGACCTGACACAGCTACCTTTGTTCTTGGAGACAAATTCTTCACCCTCCCCAAGCCCTCATCCTCACCTCAATCTTCTGGGCCAGCAGTGAGGGCTTGAAGTTGGACTTGATTACTACTTTGACCTCCAGTTTGGTGCGTCCTACTTCCCGCACAAGTGGGATCACCCGGAAAGGAAGGATGATGTCCTTGGTGGTGCGATACCTGCAGGGGTGGAAAGCAAGGTTCGCGACACACAGCAAGTCACACTCCTGCTCCATGGTTCCTGCCAGCAGCACCCCTGTCCCCTCAGCCCCTTGGCACCTCATTAGCTCAAACTCTCCATCTGGTGGGATAAAACTGATGCTCCGTTCCGAGTCAAACTTGCTGAGTCGCACACACTGGTGGAAGGTGCAGTCATCAATAGCAATTGATTGCTTCCCGCTGTGGGCAGAAGACCGCTCTCAGTCAGGATAGGAATGGCAGGTGTCATGCTGGGGGACCACCCCATGCCGACTGGCACCAGGGGCCATGGAAAGCTGCCAGAATGCAGCTGCCTTGGAAATCCCTGCCCTGGAGTTCAAGGTGAGGGAGCTTTATCAGCTCATCATTTCTTGAGATTTGGGCTGCGTGGTACGCACGTTTCAGGCTCAGCAGGCTGAGGCTATCAGTATGTACAGACAGCCTGTGGTCCTGGGGACCACACAATGAGGTCTGCTCTCCGAGGACAGGAAGCGGACAACAATGCCCTCATCCCCCTCACTGCTGTCAAGTGCAACCAGCCAAGCACACACTTGCAACCCGAGGCTCACCAACCCCAATGAACATTCCAAGGCCCACCCACTCTTTCCTTCCAGCTCCCCTGTGTCAGGCACCTCTTGCTTGTTTCATCAGCTGTGCCTTTGCCCTGCTTTTCAATGACAATCTTGTCATTCATCCCGAACTTGCACTCAGGCATGCCACTTAGGTAGCTCTTCATTACAACCCGGCCTGACACATGGGCGCTCAGCACCTGCCCTGGTGACAGAACAAATGAACAGGGCACAGCTGGGTTAAGCATGCAGGCCAGGGTCCTCCCTGTCCCCCCTCTGGCTTCATGAGAGGGCCCTCACCCTGTGGGGACATGAGCAGGTTCACACTCTCCAGCACATCCAGGAAGAGCTCATTCCGGCGATACTTGATGCCCTCTCGCCGCCAGCCAATCTGCCCTGTCACCTGGCTGGTGATCTGGGACTGCTCCTCTTTTGTCTACATGGGGGGTGGGGGGGTAGAGAAAAACAGCAAGTTTCACTCTTCTGCCCTCAATCATCCCATCTCTCCCATTCTATCCTTCTTCGTTTCTGGTCCTCACCCAGTGGTCCCTCTTTCCTTTCAGGCCCCAATGGGCAGGGCTAGGAGAAAACAGCAAAACTGCAAGGGTAGAAACAAAGAGAACAACTTACCTGATGCTGGAGACGGAAGGACCAATGACGTTCACAGGAGACAGCAGGGGAGGCAGAAAAGAAGGCTGTGAGGCTTGGATCATAAAGGGGGGGCCACAGTGTTCTTGTCCTGAGCAACAGGCAAAGCAACCCACACCCCCTGCCGCAGTGTACAGGAAAATGCCTAAGCTGTATTCCTGGAAAGAGCTGCTAAATCAGCTGCTCCTGAGGGTGGGAGGGCCAGACAGGGAAAGCAGGCCTGCAGTCATGGCAGGAGGCTCAAGCCAGCACTTCCTGACAAGAGCAGGCTCATGAGTCAGCTCTGATAGCACAAGGGGTCAGATGGGGTGAACGGAGGTGGGCTCTACTCTGCCTGTAAAATTCAAGGATTTTATTTTTGCCTGTAAAATTCAAGTACCTGACTCTTGATGCCTTGTTGGGTGATGAAGGTTTTCAGTGCACCTGTCTCTGAATTCTGGGGGTAGCCAAAGTCCAGGATCTCTGCAAAAGAACAAGCTATCAGCCCTTGAACAAGCTGAGGGCTCTCTCATTCTAATCCTTCCCCTGGCCTGGACACGTCTGGCCAGACAGCTTCTGAAGACTGGGATCTAGACAAAGGCCTTTCAGCTTTGTAGCATTTATTCTGTGATTTACACTCAGCTCCCAAATAGAGAAATCACACACACAAAAAAAATTACATGGCAAGTAAGTGAAGTCAAGATGTCCTGGGTCCTTGTTTTTTCTAGAAAACAGATGCTGGGAACCTGGAAGGACTCACATATCACAGAGGAACAATAAGAAGGGCTGGAAAGCCACTTCCCCCAGGCTCTGAAGTAGCTGCTAAGATGGAAAGCTAGAGGACAGTAATTGAATCGTGGCCCAAAACACAAAGGCAAGAGCATGAGTACTGGAGGATGTCACCAAAGCCAAGAGGCTTTGCAGCTCCCCCACCCGTTGGCTGGGCTATTTATACTGTGTTCCATTTCAGAGCACCTTCAAGGCCTGGATGTGAGCACGGCTTCTCAGGAGCAGGGATCCTCGCCCAAGTCCTCAGGAACAAAGTTGAGTACATACTGCAGCCATACCCAGTTACCCTCCTCCCCACTCAAGTCCCACCACTCTGCCTGCCTCACCATCCAGCAGCTCATATATGAGCACAAAATTGTTCTTGATGTTTTCCTCGCTGATCTTGCCAAAGTAGGCAGCCATTACGTCACACATCTTGTAGAGGAATTCAAAGACCATAGCAGCGTTGACATTCTGCTTGGTGACAGCTGCCAGCCAGATGTTGGAGCGCTTAACATGGAAGAAGCTGGTGCGAGCAATGTTGGTGACGGGGCTGCGCACCTGCTGCCGTGCGTGGATAACATTGACCCGAAAGGCATCCACTGCATTCCTCCTGAGGGAAGAGGGTGCAGAGGCTGCTCAGCATCTGTGCAAACCTCAACCACAGATGCTGAGAGGCCCACCCTCTATACTGCTGACATCTGACACACACTCTAGGCCAAGGCCTAAACCACTAGGGCCAGTTCATTCTTATGGCTCCAAAGGGGGCCGAGGAGGACCTGAGCCATGAGAAATAGGGAAGTCAAACAGCACAAAGAGGAGGGCAGACATAACCTCAAAAAAGTGAAACTCATCAGGTTTAGAGAGGCCTCACCCCAATTTCCCATCTACCACCACCCTGGCTTCCCAGTAAACTCCAGGCCTAGGGAGGAAGTGGTGGTGGGGTGAGACAGAAGGGAAGTGGGGAGTGAGCTTGCTTGCCTCTCCAATCCTCCCACTAATAAGTCCACTGGTGTGGAAGGCTGACTCTCCCAGAAAGTGGACAAAGAGAAAGCACTAATCTACCAGTTAAGAAGTGCCAAGGGTTCTAGAGCTGAGTCACCTATTATTTATTTTTTTTGAGACAGGGTCTCACTATGTAGTTCAGGCTGACCTTGAGCTCTCTTTGTAGCTTAGGTTACTCTTGAACTTGCAAGGATCCTCCTGCCTCCTTAGCACTGGGAGCACAGGTGTGTGCCACAATGCCCAGCTGTGTCACCTATCCTTGTCCAGGATCCAACTCCAGGGCAAGTTCAAAAGAGGAAGAAGGATGAAGGAAAAATGACAACTGGTGGGGCCAGGGCCCCCCACCCGCCTGTACCTGGGCAGCAGCTTGATAGGCCGCTTACCTATTGCTACGGCAGCCAATGAGATGGGATGAGAGAAATGACGCCAGCAAGAAGAGGAGAGTGACAGCAAGGAGAGAGAGGGTTAGACACACAACACACCAGGAAGGACAGCACACACCATGAGATGGAAGCAGACAAGACAGGCAAGGGGTGGTGAGCTCAGTGCATGCAAAGCAGTAGGACCCCATATTGGCTCAATCAGGCCCACCCGGGGACAGCAATACTGGAGCATGTAGCCAGCAAGGTTCAGGCATGCCAAGAACTCCCACAAGTCTAGCTCAGCCACAGAGGCCAGGCCAAGCCAACCTCTCAGGCAGGGAGCCATGAAGCCAGGGGCACTGCAATAGGCCCATGCTATTTATCTCAAGCCCTATGAGGAAGAAAAACAAAGCAGCAGAACCAGAGGAGCTTAATCTCATTAGAGCTGCTAAGGCAAGGACAGGTCACAGTCAGCAAAGAAAAATGGCATGCAGGGTGGGGCAGAATGAGAAGGCTGTGTGTCTCCTTGTTAGTCTGAGGGACCCAGGACACAGCTGGCCAGGTCTATTCAGAGGGGCTGGAAAGGGCTGCGTGACCTCCCTGTCTTTCCATTAGTGACCCAGAGTGCCTCAAACTGGCGCACAACCTCTCCTCCAGGAGTGACCGAGAGGAACTGAAAGTAGCTGAGTCAGCAGCCTGCCTCCTAAAAAAGGGAGGAGAGACTCTGGCAGCATGGAGAGGCTTTCAAGAGAAGCCAGCAAAGGCCCTCAATGAGAGGGCTTTGAGAACAGGGTGTAGGTGGCTTAGGATCTCCAGCCTGGCCCTAACTCCACCCACTGGAGGCAGAGCTCTTCTGAAAGGAGTAATCAACCTGCCTGGCAAATGCGCTCATCTTCAGTAGCCAGGCCTACAACTGACATAGGAGGCAGAAGGGACAGGCGTTCCAAAGGTTGGGGAGCCCTGCCATTCCAGAGGTCCCGCAGGAAGCCTCCAACTGGCTGCTGGGCCAATGCCACCAAACTTAAAAGGAACCAGGCTCTACTTGCTGAGCTTCCAGGATGCAGCAATGCATGTGCCCCAAGTCAAGCCTCATGGAGTAAAACCTGGTCCTGCATGCTGAGGCTGGGTGATGGGGCACACTGGCTCAGCCAAGGGACTTACCCGATGTCATCTCGGTAGACCCGGGAGATGAGCACCTCCCCCTTGTGATTATAGATGAATAAGCCTCCAATCATGGCGGCAGCTCAGTGTCCACAGCCCATTGCTCTGAGAAGAGACCTAGGACAGAGGACAGGTGGAGGAAGGGAAGACTTCACAAGTCCTGCCAATGTCCCCTGTAGGGTGGTGCAAGTCATGGGCTCCCCCCATGCTTTAGCAAGTGACCCTGCAGGCCTCTTGGACAAGCTCCTCCCCTCAGCCAGGCCCCAGTTCCTGTTTATCCCACACTCCAAGGGAGAGAGGAATAGGGCTTCAGCCTAGGCTTCTAAGGCACTTTGACCCTCCTTTTGTGGGGCTGAGCCAGAGACTAACGCCCCTCCGCCTCCTCTTCACAGCGCTGAGCTAAGCAAAGATCCTTTTCGGCCCCCTCCTGTGCAGACTCACTCAGGCTCCAGTCAGTGAGTCACTGTCAAGGCTGCCTGAGGCTGCAGGAATGGCGGTAGGAATTACTCCAGCTGGCTCAGGCCTGGAGCCCCTGGGCACAACCTTTAGATCAGCCAGTCTCTGGGCTCCACTGGCTCCACTCCCCTTCTATGAAGGGAAGGCAAGCAGGGCTTCAATCTCTTGAAGCCTACACATTCCAAGAATGGGTGTGCAGCTTTCAGGGCTGGAGGAAGGGAACAGAGGCTTTGGGCCCTGACATGGACCCAGGGGTGTGGCCTTAGCAGGTACATATCTTCCAGGCAAGGAAGGTAGCAAAGGACAAAAGTCCCAGTGCTGGCAGACTGCACGTCAGTGATCCAAATTGCTTACTATGGTTATTTCTGACCACCTCCTTTTAAAAAGCTTTGAAGTGTAATAAAATAAGGAAGGATGTGTGTACAGGTTTGTAAAATTATTAGAACCTTCCTGCTGAAATTCTGATTTCACCAAGTAACTCATTTCCAACCTGAGTACTTAAAATCAAGGGGTAGGGATATCTGACTGCCTCAATCACCTAAATTATTTGGGTCAAATAATTTAGACAGTTTGAGAAGAGAAAGAGGTTGATTCTAGATCTCCTGGATTAGCCCTAGTATTAATTTCACAGAGGATAGTTCAATGGACTTCCCAACTGAAAAACTAAGTCTTTTACTGCGGCAGTTCCTGTCACCTAGACCAGTGTAAGGTTTCTCAAGGAGGTGGAAACATTCTCATTCTTTATTCCCAAAGAAACTGAGAGTGAAAATGTAAAATGGAGGCAGAGTCCTAGGCAAAGAACCAAGTCCACCAGTATCAAGTGATGACTGGTAGCTCAGGGCCCTAGAGAAACTGAAGTGGGGCTGAAGGCAGGAATGGAGCATTTTGTTAAGAGACGGCCAGCCACCACCAGCAAGCAGCGTGAGCCCACAGCAGCAAATAGGGCTGGTGGAGACCCCTAAAAAAAGAGGTTCAGGTGTAGCAGAGTTCAGGGCTTTGACGTGGGGAAACAAGCAGGAGAGATGGTAAATAAGGGAAAGCGAGGGGCCTGGGCCTGCTTTGGGGTTCAGGTACATAGGCATGGTGGGGAGTGCTCTTTGCCCGGGAGAGGAGACGGAACCACAAGGGACGGAGCTGTCACAGGTCAAAGAAGAGCCCTGGGGAGTCGCTGAACTGGGGGAATGGCGTGGCGCATGGAGAGGCCTGTCACCGTCCTAGGAGGCGGCACGAAGGATGTCACCCTCTCGGGAGATGGGGGAAGTGTCCCTGCGCCGAGGAGGACGCGCCGAGGGCCGGGGGTGGTCACGATCCCAGGGAGGGGGCGCCGCGCGTTGTCCGGGTTCCCAGACGATTCCGGCCGTCTCGCCCTCATAAGAGGAGCCGGCAGGTCAAGTGGAGGGCGCCGCTCCCCGCCCGCCCGCAAGCCCGCCCGCCCGCCCGTCCAGCAACCGCGCCCGGGGCGCCCCCACCCCGCCGGCAGCTCCTTCCAGAGTCTGAAGGCTGAGGCCACTCCCGGGTGTGGGTAGCTTTTCGCCCAGCCGCGCAAGGCTGCAGACTGGGCAGCGGGGCAGACGACCCGCGGCATTCTCCCTTAACCAGTAAGGCCGATTCCCCAGCTCACCTGGAGTCCGCGTTCGCGGCCCCCTACTCAGACGGCCCGGCCACTCTCCAGATCCCAAGATGTCCGCCCGCCCCCACCTCGCCAGCCCGCCGCCTCGGCTTTCACTGCAGTGCCAAGGCCCCGCCCCGGCCCCGGTTGCGCTTGCGCGCCCGCCTCCCGCTCTCGACTACAAGTCCCGTCAGGCCCTGCGGCCTTCTCGCCGACTACTGAAAGCTCCAGGTTTATAAAACTACAACTACCGACAGGTCTAGAGAGACTATCCCTAACTTCCGGGATGAAGAACTTCCGCACCCTGCCAGAATTACACATGCCTACACTGGCAACTCTACACGCTGTTTCCTCAAGCGGCATTCCGGGTATTGTAGTCTTTTTGCCTTTGTTGTTAGCTTGGGTTGCTGTAGGCATTTCCTGTCCCCAGAGTCTGAAAAGTGGCTTCTTTACCCTTCACTTTTTGGTCTCCCAAAACACACACACACACGCACACGCACCCTTCACTTTTTAGCCTCCCAAAACACACACACACACACACACACACACACACACACACACACACGGTAGAGGTGTGGTTCTCCTGAGTTTTTCTCATGTATGTCTTTCAGACATAAGCCTTTTCGCAAGGATCAAGACCTAACTAAGGACTGGGGGCTGGGGAGATATCTCAGTACAATAAGTGCTTGCTTGGCAAGCGCAAGGGCCTGAGTTCAATCCCAGGTTCCGAAAAAAAAAAAAAAAAAGACATAACTAAGGGGCACGAAGAGAGGACACACATTTTTTTAAAAAAATGTATTTAGAACAGGGTCTACAGGGTCTCCCTACACAGATTGGACGGACTCCTAGTGATCCTCCTGTTTTCAGCCTGCCAAGTGCTGGGATTACAGGTGCACTGACCTTGAATTTATGTATCCTAGGTTGGCCTCACATTTATGGCAATCCTATCTCAGCCGCCGCAGTGCTGGGAGTACAGATGTCAGTTACCAGCCTGCTGCAGGCACACTCTTGGAAGAAGCTAGCTAAAGCTTTTCATGACTGCTTCAGTGTTCTCAGCTATACCAGTGATTGTGTGCGCTTTCTATAGGAAAATGTTTCTTAGATAATGGTTAGTGGGTTGAATTTTGTTGGACATGACATTCAAAATCCTTTCTCTGATAAACAGAATTAATCTTTACATTGCAGCTAATTACAGGAGGCATATTAAGGCCAGTCAAATAGCTCAGTGGTGGGGCCAGGGAGATGGCTCAGTAGAATAAGCACTTGCCTGGCAAGCGCAAGGGCCTGAGTTCAACCCCTGGTTGTGCCAAAAAAAAAAAAAAAGCTCAGTGGAATAAAGCGCTTGCAAGCAGGCACAGGCGCTGGGGGTTCAATCCACTGGCCTGCCAGGCCAGCCCTGCCCCCCAGGGCATGCTGAGATAGCAACTGAGACTGGGCATAGTGGTGCAAACCTGTAATCCCAGCACTTGTGAGGCTGTAAACAGGAGAATCACAGGAGAGTCTGTTCTAGTAGTGAGACCCTGAACACCCTGTAAACCCTTCCCTAAATACAAAAAAAAAAAAAAAAAGAAGAGGCAGATTAAACCCATGGACACAACAGGCCACTTGGTTCTTGGATCTGAAGAAAATATGTTGGCTTTTCACCTGTATGCAGCAGTATCCTGGTGCCTTCACTCAATAGGCTTAGGGCTGTTGTACCAGGAAGGGCACATCTGTTTATGAACCTTACAGGCCCTGACAGGTTCCTACCAAAAGCCAGGATGCAGCAGGAGGAAGATCTGACCCCTCTCAAACTGTTGTCATCCTGATGCCATTTAGTGGCTGAAAACAGACACTTCTAAACTTTGGACAGTATTCAAGGCTTCAATTCTACCTTTTTGCAAAAGCTTTAGCTTCCAAACACCTTAAATGACTGTGATTTAGAGTAAATAATAATAATGGCTACCATTTATTGAGCACCTACTCTATTGTGCCAGGCACTATGCTAGGCACTTTTCGTACAATATCTAATTTAAATCCTCACAACAACCCTGTGAGGTAGGTATTATTATCATCATTTTACATACAAGAGGACTGAGAGGCTCAGAGAGGTTAAGTAACTCCCCTATCACACAAACAAAAAGTAGTGGAGCCAGAATTCAAACCCAGACCAACCTGACTCCAAATCTCATGCTCTGGCAAATTAGAGGCAAAGGGATAATAATAAGGGCCAAATGTAGGAAAGATTGTTGGAGTGGAAAGGATGAAATATGCTAGTAAGATACAGAAAAAATTTAAGCTCTTACACGTTTCTAGCTGGTGAGCCTATATAGATTGTGATGAAGGTCACCAGGACAGAGGGATTCAGGACACTGGTTAGGGCATGAGTTGAGTCCACACGGTCTTCTCCATGGAGATCTAAAGACTGGAGGATGTTGGGATTGGAGCTACATATGACAATCACCAGCATTATCAGCAGCATTTGAGGATATCTGGATGGGTGACAGTGTTTTGGAGTAGGGAGAAAACAGAAGTGGATCAAAGATGGAACAGAAATACAAACCCCCAAAAAATGTAGTGGAGGAATTCTCTAGGGTCTTTGCCTTGGACAAGACAGACAGAGAGGAAAGTGCTAGAGGTAGCCCTGTAGAGGCGGCGAGAAGCTGTGGCCTGGATTGGGAAGGAAACCCAGGCTGGCAGGCAAGGCTGTCATCCTTCCAGCACAGCCCCTTGTTCACAAAAACCTCAAGAAATCTTTGTTAAGTGAATGATGAAATCCCTCTACTTCAATTTGCTCCAAACCTGGGCGGAGGACTTGATCTTACCCCCAGTAACCTAACCCTGAAAATGTGCGAGTGGAGGCTTAGAGACAACAGCATGATTTGATTAAAGCAGAGAAAGAAAGAAAAAGAAAACAAAAAAAAACAGAATTCTGTAAGTTTTAGAAGTCCTTTTGCCTAACTGCAACTGGCCTGTGGCTCCTGTCCTTGTTTTGGGTGCAGTGAAAATAGGGAAGAATGGGGTGGGGTGAGGACCTATAGTCCCCTGGAGGGTTCTCTGCTGAACCCGGCCTGAGATCCAGCATATGGGTTAATCCAGGTAGGAAGACACTGCGCACACATGGGGCAGGCTCACGGGCTATGAGGGAGGGAAGTCAGGGGACCAGCCCCACTTTCTGGAGAGGGTCCAGCCCTCTATGCAGGGACCAGCCCTGAGGCTTACATGAATTTGCATAGGCACATGTGTGTGCATTTGCACACGCCTGTGTGAGTGATTGGTTTTCTCTGGAAACAAACAAGGTCTCCCTGCCTGCATGAAGCTGGAGCCCTCCCCAAGCCTAGTGATGCTGGGGTGTGGGTGTGGGGCTGGACATCCTTGGGAAGCCTGAGGGGCGGCGGAAGCAGGGTTCTCGGTCTCCTCGGAGGCTGAGCCTCCCATTGCTGGGGACTCACAGAAAGTCAAACAGCCCGAAATTCTTGGCTGCTCCAGGCCCAGGGAAAATTGGGGGAGGAAAAAAAGAAAGAAGAAATGTTTCAGGCTCAAGGTAAGATGAGCCTGCGGGTTAGTAGGGTTAAGGTCTGATGGAACCAACACACAGGCAGGCATGGGGCGGGGGTTGGGCAGAGATGCTCCCTGAAAGGCGGGAGCTGCCCAAGCACCCACGGGGGCTCTCTGGGATGGCAGCGGGAGGGGCTGTGGCCCTGGGGAGTAGGGCGGAGGCAGCAGGCAGGAGACAGGGAGGGCAGATGCAGGGACTTATTTTGATGTCAGTACTATGGACAATCAAGAGGTCTGCACTCATGCTTGCAGGGCGGGCTTAATGCAGGAGAGGTGTAGCTGAATGGATAGTGAAACGGTACTGAGGGGCAGAGGGGGCAAGCACCCCCGGGCCAGGTCCTGAAATGTGTGAAGGTGGGCAGACCAGAGCAAGCACCTGCGAGTCCGGACCCACTCCAGTCCTGGTAAGCCCCGCACAGCGTTAGTGGGCCGGGGCGAAGCGGGGCCAGAGGCAGGTTAGGGGTTGCACGGCGCCCTCGCTGAGTCAGCGAGCAGTAGCGCCCCCGGGTTTAGTTCCATTTATTTCCCTTTCAGGTACCAGACAAAGTAAAAAAGGCGGGCGGGCGGGCGGACGGATGGACGGAGAGGGAGCGGCTGCGGGGTCGGGTCGGGTCGGGTGGGACGGCAGTCGCAGGGCCTCGCTCACATCACATCCACAAAGAACTCACTGGGGTTTCCCATGGCCATGCGGAAGGACTGTCTGCTGGCGGTCAGTTCAGGGGGCACCGAGGCCAGGTCGCGGCCCGGAGGCGCTCCTGGAGGCCCCATGGCCGCGGGTGGCGGGGGCATCATGAGCACCGGGGGGCCGTAGAGCGGGGGCACACCGGGAGGGCCGTAGCTGGGGTGCGCGTGCGGGCTGCGCAGGCTGCCCGCCAGCGAGTGGTGGCTGCGGTGGCTGTGCTCACTGGCGGCTGGGCCTGAGCGCTCGCTGGGTGCGCGCTCCCGCGGGCCCCGAAGGCTGCTGCGCGTCGTGTGGTCGGACTCACTGCCGCTGCCGCCCGACTTGGAGTCCCCGGCCTTCGGGTCCTTCTCCTTGCGCCGGTCGCTCCCGCTGCGGTTGGAGCCGCTACTCCGACTGCCTGTCGGGGACACGCAGGGCCGAGGTGGGCGCTCAGCGCGGACAGGAAGCCTCGGCCGCCTGCGGCTGCCCGTGTGCCCGACCCCCTTACCTTCACTATGCTGACTGCTGGCGCTGCCCCCACCATAACTGTAGCCCAGCTCCGGGAAGCCGGGGTGCGGGTTGTACGGGTGCGGAGGTGGGGGGTACTGGTATGGGAAAGCCATAGGCCAAGGCGCTGCCCCGGGGTGAGGCAACGGGGCCAGCGTGTCCTGGTCAGAAGCACCGCTGGAGCCATCGTGATCGTGGAGGGACAGGCTGGCCATGTCTGCAGAGAAGCACAGAGTGAGCTGGGGGAGAATGCTACCGCCTAGGCGGGGCAGTATGCCACGGTGGTCCTTTCTGGCCAGAGTGGGAGGAGGCACGGCACTGGCCAGACAGCTCAGCCCTTCCTCTCATCCCTTAGATACCACCCAAGTACACAGGATGTAAGACCCTGGGGAGACCCTCTGGGAAGGCTTGGCCCCCCTCCTTCCTCCGCAGTGGGCTAGAAGAGGGGTCAAAATTCTTGCTCTGCCGTCTTCTCTAATTCACCCAGAGGATGCCAGGCCAGGGAATGGGAAAGAGTGCACAAAAGCCAGGCTGCTTTCAGGAACTGCACACTGGGATTCAGCAAGACACCACTCAGCACAGTACTCAGGTTCCCACAGAAACGCCCTAATCCCCTCATTTGCCCAAGCAAGATAAGACAAGTCCAGAGGAGTTAAATGAGCAGCAGCCTGAGTTCAATCTAAACTGCAAACAGAACAGAAGCTAGGGCTGGGGAGATAGCTCAGTAGAATAAGTGCTTGCCTGACAAGCACAAGGGGCCAGGGAGACAGCTCAGTGGTGTGCCTGCCTGCCTGGCAAGTTCAAGGTTCTAAATTCAATCTCTGGTACCAAAAAAAAAAAAAAAAAAAAAAAAAGAGAGAGAGAGAGAACAGAAGCTAAGGGCTGCTTTCTCTCTCCTAAACTGTCCTGACAGAGCCATTAGAAGCAGGGAATAATCTTGAGAAATTTCAGTTAAATTTTGTCTTTCTCTTCTTCTCTGGAATATCCAATCAAAGGCCAGGGTGAGAGGCTGGGGATATAGCTCAGTGGCACAGTGCCTGCCTAGCAAGTAAACTGTGAGTTTGCTTTCTGGTTAAAAAAAAAAAAAAAAAAAAGGCCAGGATGAGCAGAGGCCTTTCAGAGCCTCCTTATGAAAGGCCCTGCCCTGATTACGTTTTCCTGGTATTGCCAGGGAAGGTGAGGGTGAGATGGGAAGAGCCAGGGAATGACTGTGCTTCTTCTGTGCCCATTCTCAACCAGGCCTGGCACCAACTCAGTCTACCAACACTACTTCCTGACTTTGGTTGTCCCCAGAAATTCTAACTCCTTAAGGGCAAGAGTGCCCTCACCAAAGCTGGGACTACCTGGCAGGGGCTCTAAGGGCCACCAGGTTCCTTTCTCTGCCCGGGATGATCCTTGTTCACACACTGCCTGTATCAAGCCCCAGAGCTCTGGGATCTGGAACTGCCCCAGAGTGGAGGGAAGCAGCGGCCTTTTGGCTCAGGCCTGAAGAGCAGGCAATGACTTTAGCCTGCAGGCTGTGGTATGTGGTCACAGGAGTGACGGTGTGGTTCTTTTTCCCTGTGAGCCCACTACACTCCTAGCTGAGGATTCTGAGAGGCCAGTGAGAAGGAAGAGATCACTGTAATCTGGGTCTAGGATGGCCTAGGGCCATGCACAGAAAACCCAGGTGCGCCCATAAAGAAACACTATCTTTTTTTTTGGTGGTACCAGCAATCGAACTCAGGACCTTGTACTTGCCAGTCAAGCACTTATTCCACTGAGCTATCTCCCTGGCCCCTGAGAAACACTATTTTTTAAACAAAGACCATAGCTACCTTAGAATTTGTAGGTGTCTCTGGAGGTGTGGAGCCAGGGTTGACTTGTACTAATAATGATAGTCATCTACATTTCACTGAGTTAAGAAGCTATTGATCATAACACGTATCCCAATTTCACAAATACTGAAATGTGAAAAGTGTCTCATTAATTATGAACAGGTAGCTTTTACAGAGCACTTACTGTGGTTCATATAGTGTACTAAGCCTTCTATAAATTGTCCTCTAAACAGCCCTGTGAGGTAGGTTCTACTCTTATCTCTATCTCACAGACCAAGAAGTTGACCACTAAGAGGCCACATCACTCACTCATGTTCACTCAGTCAGGGAGAGCTACAACTTGAACTGAGAGCTGCCAACCCCCACAGTCCTCTGCACGTCTCCACCCCATGGGGCCATGTGGAGACCGCCGAGGGCCTGACCCACTCTTCACTCAGGCTGTGTCCTGCAGGATCACATGTTCTGCTCCCTAGAACCCAATGCGAGGCCTTTTAGGAGTCCCCATTAGAAACCAGATGGCACCACTGGGCTGAGAAGGCTCCTTAGGCAGGCATGGAGAACCACGGAGTTCTCCTGCCTGACAGCCTCACTGGTACTTTCCAGACTCTGTGGCTTGCAGAGTCTTCTGTGGCCTGGCCCTGGCAGCTTCTCCAGCTTCACTGTGTAATATGGCCTTCCCTTGGGGTCTGAGGAGGACCCAGGAAATCTGGCCAGTCCCAGGTCTTGCCCTGCAGGGACCCACTTGGTTCAGAGACCAAAGGTGGGCCCTCTGTTTAACTTTGCTGAGAGAATGATTCTATAGCACGGAATACCCAGGGCAGCCCCAGCACTGCAAAGAGCAAGGGATCTGGAGTTAGAGGACCAGGATCCAAGGCCCCACTTCTCCGCTTCTCATGTGGGACCCAGGGTAGACTCGTACTGATTCATCTGATTCCTCATCTCAGGACATACAGAGTAAACCTCACACCCTCAGGGACCACAAAGATCAAGTGAGATGATACTCTGGTCTATCAGCACCATGCCAGGCACAGAGGGTGTGCTCAGAGAAGGCCAGGATCAAAGGGGAGATGTGGGGCAGGTGGAGTCTAGGCTGATTCTGTTTCTACTAGAGAACTCAGAGCTGAGCTGGGCCCCCAGTGCTGCTGCATATCAGCCAGCTTCCCCAGAGTCTGCCACAACATCCCTGGCACCTCCCCACGCCCCAGCAGCAGACAAGGTGAGAGGATGGGGAAGGCACGTACTGCCACAGAGGTCACCGAAGATATAGTAGCACTGCTCAGAGAAGGTGATCTTGTTGACAGTGTGACGGATGAAGCCGGCCTTTAGCAGGTTGCTGGCATACTTGCGGGCCTCCCGCCGGTCAGTGAAGCCTTCCACATTGTGGTAAAGCCAGTCCACAACATCTGAGCCTGGGGAGAAGGCTACCAGGTGAACGGGCAGCACTCCAGGTCTGGGTTCCTCTGGCTTCCCAGAAGCTCAATGGAGCTGGCCCAGAGAGTTCTTGGGTCCCGCTGAGCCAGCGAGCTGTCCCTCACTCCCCACCCTGTCCTCATCCCACCATGGGGCTCTCTCACCGATGAAAGCATTGGGAATGGTAATCTTGAGCCACATGCGGTCTCGGACCTCCAGCCCTGATTCAGGGGAGGCCATGGCTTTTACGATGGCAGCCATGTCACTGTGGATGGATAGGTGGAAGTCGTCTAGCCCTGAGGGTGGAAGCAGAATGGTGAGGCAGCAGGGGCTTTAGGGTTTGGTAGACAAGAGTTTACATTCCAGCTTAGGCCCAGTAGCGGTGGGCCCAATGCTGGGCAAATTAGACTTTTTAGACACTCAGTTCTCTTCTCTTTAAAAATGGGCATTATGGGCCGGGGAGATGGCTCAGTGGAATAAGCGCTTCCCTGGCAAATGCAAGGGCCTGAGTTCAATCCCGGGTTCCACCAAAAAAAAAAAAAAAAAAAAAAAGGCATTATGGGGCCAGGGAGATGGCTCAGTAGAATAAGTGCTTCCCTGGCAAGCTCAAGGGCCTGAGTTCAATCCCCAGTTCTGCCAAAAAAAAAAAAAAAAGGGCATTTTATTTTAATGCCTACTTTACAAGGGTACTTGAAGGAAGAATTAGTAAGGTAAGGGAAAGTGCTTAGCGCAGTGTGTGTGTGTGCAGGTTATGAAAATGGCAGCCATTTACTGAGTGCTCATGGTATGCCACACACCAGTGTGTGTCAGCAGCACCCTCTCATTAAGCCCACTGGTAAAGTACATAGTGACTGTCCCAATTCACAAGAGGAGACTGAGGCTCCTGGGTGCTTAACACCAGGTCAGCAGCAAACAGTGCACAGTGGGGACCAGGTGTGCATGGGGCGAGCTGCAGCATGCGGTGGCTGGAATGAGCGGTTCCCTCTCCAGCTCTCAGTGAGTCCATCCCCCACCTGGTCTTGTTTGCTGGGCCCAGGGCCCAGGCTGGATACTCACGCTCTGTGTCAGGGATGGAGCTGGTGATGGAAGAGCTGGTGGAAGTGATGGTGCTCAGGGAGGGGCTCATGCCATAGGCAGGGAAGGTACCCGTCATGGCCGCAGTGTGGGAGACCCAGGCTGCAGGGTCAATGGGCCGGATGGGCTCACCTGCAGGAGAGATTAGGAGTCGTGGGCTGCCCACACTGATAGGCAGGTGTGAGAGCTCAGGGTGACATGGAAGAAAGGAGGGGTAGGGCTCACATATGCAAGCACCAACTACAGGAACAAAGGCCTAAACCACTTACTTCTAGGCAATGTGAAGCAACCACGTGGACTTGGGTCCCAGCACTTGGCTACAGTCAGGGTGATGGGCCTAAAAACAAGGTTGTCCTGCTGAGGGGAGGATTGGTGGAGGCCAGCCACAGTCCCTTACCTGACAGACCAAATGCCTGCCCCTGCCTCCCCCAGCCCCATTCCCTCCATACCCCGGTTTGTGCACGATCTCCCGTAGTACCCGGACAGCGTCGTCATTACTCATGTTCTCAAAGTTGATTTCATTTACCTGAGAAAGGATTAGGCGTGGGATAATGGCAGCACCAGGGAGAGGGGCAAGGGAGCTGGACCGGAGTCAGGGAGCTTCCTCCAGAGGGCAGGGATCCCTCCTCCCTCCCTAGCACGCCACACCCCGGGCAGGCAATACCTGTAAGAGCATATCCCCTGGCTCGATGCGTCCATCAGCAGCCACAGCCCCACCCTTCATGATCGAGCCAATGTAGATCCCTCCGTCGCCACGCTCATTGCTTTGGCCCACAATGGAGATGCCCAAGAAGTTATACTTTTCTACAGGGAGTAATTTAGCACCTTGAGCGAGGCAAGGTCCCTGCCCAGATTCCCACTCCCTTATTAGAAGAGGGTGGAGGGGGACAAGAGCTGAGAGCTGACATTTACTGAACCTGAGCCAGGCACTGTGTACACTCTGCTTTAACATGCTTTCCTGTAATTCCTGCTGGTTATGGGATGGCGACAGTTCCGTTTTAGAGAACAGGAAAGTGAAGTTTAGTGATTTTTTTTTTTCGTTTTTTTCTTTAATGTACAGGGTCTACACAGATTGGACCATCTCAGCATGCCCTGAGCCAGCATGGCATGCCAGGGACTGAACCCTAGTCTCTGCATCTGCTTAAGCAGGCACTTTAATCCACTTTTTGGTGGAACCAGGGATTGAACTCAGGTTCTTACGCTTGCCAGGGAAGCACTTATTCTGAGCTATCTCCCTGGCCCTGGCCCTCTTTTTTTTTTTGAGCCAGAGTCTCACCATCTTACCATGTAGTTCAGGCAATTTTTTTTTTGGCTGAACCGGGGATTGAACTGAGACCTTTGCCTTGCCAGGGAAGTGCTTATTCTACTGAGCCATCTCCCTGACCCCTCAGGCAAGCTTTGAACTCAATATGTAGTCCAGGCTGGCCTCAAAGTCAAAGCAATTCTCCTGAGTGCTGGGATCACAGTTTAGTGAATTTAAATTACTCTCTAGGCCAATAAGAGGCAGAGGCAGGATTTAAAATCAGATTTAAGGGGCCAGGGAGATGGCTCAGTGGAATAAGTGCTTCCCTGGCAAGCACAAGGGCCTGAGTTCAATCACCGGTTCCACAAATAAATAAAAAATAATAAAATCAGATTTAGTTTTCCAAGTTTTTGTTTGCTTTACCACATGCAACTGTCTCCTAAAGAGTCCCTACGGCAGTGGTAGCAAACCCATAGCATGTGTTATTTTTTTAAGATAATTTTTTTTTTTTTTTGGTATTTTTAGGGAAGGGTCTACACAGCCTTCAGGGTCTCACTAATAGAGCAGACTCATAGTGATTCTCCTGTTTACAGCCTCCCAAGTGCTGGGATTACAGGCGCGCACCACCATGCCCAGACTCAATTGCATCTCAGGGCACCCCAGGGGCAGAGCCGGCACAGCAGGTCCGGAATTGAACCCTCGGCCCCTGTGCCTGCTTGTAGACACTTTAATCCACTGAGCTATTTGGCCAGCCCTTAATGTATGAGGGTTTTTTTTTTTTTAATTTTTTATTTGTGTGTGTGTGGGGGGCAGCTCAGCTCACCAGGGGGCGGGGGGGCTGGCATGTGGTGCTGGGGGATTGAACCGCGGTCCCTGTGCTTTGCTAAGATTGTTCTGAATAGGTGCTTTAGACCACTGAGCCATCTCACCAGCCCCAAGGGTTTTTTTTTTTTTAAACTAAGCTAAAATCTTAGTATTCAGATTTAACTGCAGTGTTACCATTTTGCAAGAAGTGGGTTTTAGGTTGCAGCTTGGGCACTTGTTTCTAAAAGGTTTGCCACCACATCACTGCCCTGTGGCAGAAATTAGAGAGTGAGGGTGCAATGGCTAAAGAAGGCCAGGGGCAGGGCGCTTGACACTCCCTCCAGTAAGCCTTCGGGGCGCACTGCCTGCTTCTGCACCACCCTGTGCTCATGTGTTACAGCCCTGACCACCACACACTAGGGATCAGTCTGTCAGTTGTTTATTCACGAGGTTCCTCAAGGGCAGAGAACAGATCCTGTCTCCCCCTCCACCCCACCTCTTGTTCCCAGTGGATCCCATGGGTGCTTGCACTTACCCATGTTGAGAGTGACCGTGATGATGTTGAGGGACATGGTAGAGTCTGTGATGCTGCTGAAGGACGAGGACTGGAAGAAACCATGCCCTGAGTGGCAGGCAGGAGTGGGGGGCTCTCTGCTGCCACTGGGTTCCTCCTCAGCGCCCCACCCTCACCCACTACATCAGGATGCTGAGGAAGGCCAGACCACAGCCCCGTCTACCCACACCCATAGGGGCAGCCTGGACCCATACCCGCTCGATGCGGGAGACCTTCTGCTTCCGCCGCCGCCGCTTGTGCCTTCTCATCAGGCGGGAGGCACTGCTCTGCTCCGTGGAGCTGCTGAACCTGCAGGGCGCACAGTTGGTCCCCACCAGCCTGGCCCAGCCCCCTGCCCCCTCCATGTGCTGCTGGGCTCTCATTCCCAGCCCACAGCACCATCCTTCCTGGCAGAGCATCCCCTCAGTGGGCAGCTCAGCAGCCCTTGCCTGCGGTACCCATATGAAGCCCGACCTGCTGGTGGAATCGTCCTCATCAGAGTCGAAGAAGCTGGTGGTCTCCAGCTCGCTGCTCATGAGGGTGGATGAGCTATCGTAGCCGCCCGGCTCTCGCCGTCGCTCTGCCTTTGTGGTTCCATTTAACCGGGTTGCTGCAGTGGACAGAGGCAGCTGCAGTCATGCAGTGCCCAATGTGTGTGAGGTCAAGGGAGGAGAGAGAGCCAGGGACATACAGAGCTCAGGAACTAGGGGTGCAGGGGCTGTCTGGATGTGGTGGGGAGACACACCGTGCTCGGGGCCATCCCGCCGGCGCGGCCTTTCGCGCTGGGCAGAAACCAAGGAGTCCGTCTCCGTGTCATTGTCCAGGTTCTCCTGGCTGCCCCCACCAGCATGAGGGCTGCAGGGAAGAGAGGACTTGGCAGGGGAGAGGCAGGCTGGGGGCTCCCTCCCCTGCCTTAGGCTGAAAGAATGCTGCCCAGCCCCACGGGTCACCCAACCTTCAGGTCACACTCACTGGAAAGATGGGGGTCGTGAGTCCCCAATGCCCCCTGTGCGCTCCATAGGTGGTGGCAATTCTGAAGGGTTGTCAGCACAGAAGGGGGCGGGCTCTGGGTGCGAGCCTTCTGCTGACACCAGCTGGTGGGGAGGAAATGAGTGGGCATTGGGTCATGGGCACCAAGGAGAGGGGCAGCAGAGGTGAGGGGCAGCCCCTCAGCCAGGTGTGAAGGGCTGGGAGGCCTAGGTTGGTCAAGTGGGTAGGGGCAGGCAACACGGGTCGGCAGTCCTGGACAAAGGTCACCGGGTGACAGCAGGTGTCCGCATGAGCACAGGAGAGCTTATCTCCACTGTGAGTCTCATTCTCTCCCTTCCCACTACTCTACCACTTTTCATTAAAGATTTTAAAATCTGGGGTAAGAAAAGGATCAGTCAAAAAACTAAAGGAAGGGCTGGGGAGATGGCTCAGTAGAATAAGCGCTTCCCTGGCAAGCGCAATGGCCTGAGTTTAATTCCCGGTATGTGTGTGGGGAGAACTAAAGGAAGATCTAGATACTAAAACCCAAAGCCCCAGCCACAATCTCAGCAGCAGGATGCAGGCGGATGGGCCAGAGGGCGCCTTACCCAGGACACCACGCGGCCATTGAAGCAGGGGAGCTTGGCATTGTCATCAGAGATCTCCTCCTTCACCACTCTGTAGGAAAGGAGGTGTCAGAGAACTTTCTGGTGTGGAACTGGAAGGGCCTCATAACCCCAATTGTCCTCTACCTTCAACTGGAGACCAAGCAACCAACACAAGAATGTTCAAATAGTAGCAGAGGAGGCGGGGACCCAGGGACAGCCCCTAGCGCCAGCCTGCACACAAGCCAGCCACCTTCCTGGGGATCCTCTCCATCATTAGGTGGTCACAGATTCCAAGGGACAGGGCACTGCCCCATGCACCCTTCAGGCCCCTTGGGTACTTTACCCAGCCCCAACATGGCTTTCCCAGGCTGGACTCTTTCCCTCTAAATCCCGTGTTGGGAAAGAGTACACATATATTATCACTCTTCCCTTCTCCAGGAAATTAGGCCAGAAAGGGGAGAAGGAACTGACTGAACATCTTCCGCATGCCAGGAAAGTAATAGTGACAACTGCTCTCATTTACTGAGCAAGCATAATGGGGCAGGCACTACGCTACACTTTACTTGTGCCACTTGGCTTCATAGTCACCACAGTGCTGTGAGGTAGAGACAGATGGGCAAAACAGGCTTAACAGGTTCAGTAATTCACCCAAGCTCATGCCACTAGCAAGCACAGAGCCAGCAGGTGAACCCTGGTCAGCCTGACAGCAAAGCATGTCCTCTTTACCATTTTACTACTTTCCACCCCTTTGGTCTACACTTGCATTCTTCTTCCACTAGCCTCATGGAGTGGACAAAACAGGCTGCATTTCATGAATGAGGAAACTGACAAGTGTTCTGTAACTTGCCCAGGGTCACAAAGCTACCAGATGACAGGGCCAGAACTCAACTCTGGGGTGTCTGACTATGAATCCCATACTTTCCTGTGCGCTGACAGAGGTAATGTGGGTCAGGCGGCGTGCTGGGGTGGACAGGACATGGGGCAGAAGGGTGTGGAATGTGGTCCCGGAATGTAGTCTGCTTGAGGGAATGCAGTAAGGCAAACAGTCTGACCCTAGCTATGGTTTGGGGCCAGGAAGGCAACAGAAAAGTTGGAGGATTGTGAGACCTTCTAAGAGCCCAGGAGCACAGAGCTGAGAAGCCGTGACCATGTGCAGGATATAGAACAACACAGGTCTAGAGTTCTAATCAGAGGGGAGACTGCAAGGGAGGAGGCTGGGAAGCCCAAGCGTCCTTGTTCTAACAGTGGCCTCTGCTGGGAGTCAGGAACGTGCTTGGCTCCTTGTGATGCTCACATTCTTGGACTCAAAGCCAAACTCACAGGCCAAGCCTGCCCGCCTCCTTCCCACCCAGCTCTGGCTTCCACCATTCCCAAACCCACAGCGACTTGGAGAAAAGAGCCCGAATCATCTACTCAGACTCATGATAACAGAAAACCTGGAGGCAGAATGGACTGGAAACACACAAGAGAAGTGGCTCAGACACACCAGCCAGTCTGGCCATAGGGCAACCTGGGCTTGCAGCCCTGTGTGGAAGACACGGGCCACATGGCATAGACTGCATGCCCTGCTTTGCAGTGTGTCTCTCTGGTGGGAAGCTGCTACTAAGTCCCCTCCCTGTCCCTAGCAGGCCCATGGCACTGCTCCATACTACAGATGTTTGCTTACTTTCTGGGAGTCACCAACAGGTCACCAAGACTCTGTTAACTCACAACTGATCACCTGACATTCAGCATCCCCGGAGGACCTCAGGCTGTGGTAAGGCAGAATGGTTCAGTCTCTGCCTCTCTCTCTCTCTCTCTCTCTCTCTCTCTCTCTCTCTCTCTCTCTCT